TTAAAGCAGCTTATCGTGAGACATTAATACTAAATTGGAAGCCACAAATTCTTTTTTTTCTTTTTTTTTTATTGGGCCGGACGAAAACCATTCATGAGCCATATTAGGCCCACTTGTCTTGTTTTTGACATATGAGCATCATAGCTTTTTCTGTTTTTTCTAAGGTCCTCTAGCTGTAGCAGCCATCTTGAATTAGATTTGGGCCTGAAGTTAACAGTTGTAGATGAAAATTCACAGATTTTATTTAGTTTTAATCCAGTTTTGTTTCAGTATATTTTTTTAGTTAGTTTAAGTAAAATCAATCCACAGGCTCCTGAGATTTTTTGCCAACAGACAGACAAATGAACGCACACATGGGCAAAACCATTAATGCCAACTTTACCATGTAAATATTATTTAAAGTAAGCATTAGGGACAAACACTGCAGTCACAAAAACATTAATATAATATATACATTTAGACTTGAAAACAGGATAAACAACACACATAGGCAACAGCGCAGAGACTCACCGTCTGCCATATAGGATTTAAATTTAGTGGTTGAATAATCAGCTGGCATGCAGCTCTGGGAATTCTGTGCATAATGAAAGCCTCTCCACACAAGCAGTTGGACTTATTCTGCACATAAGACTGCTGTCAAAATGTCAATGAATCTTAATTTAACCACCATCTTAGTCACCTGGGACACATCTCGTTCAGGCCTAATGTGGAATCGTGTGTTTCATTTGGAAATACAGTATTGAGAGAAAAACAAAACTGAGAAAAAAACACATCAAGTACCAAGTTTTTGTTGTGTGTGAGTAATATTGCATTTTTAGTCTTGCAGAAAGCTTTTGCACATTGTTACTTTTTTCTATCAGATTTTTATTTACAGGGTTAAGAGTGGAATATAAAAAAGCACAAGTTCAGATTTTTTGAAGTGGGGATCCATGGAAAGCTTATAAACAAACGTGTAAATAGCTCTTTAAATACTCTCAGTTTGGAGAAACTGTGTTCAGTTTTGAGCAGAATGTACAAATTAAGTGTTAGTCTGAATGGATTTCTGACATCTTAATACAACTTCAGTCTCAAAAAAATTATAGTAACTTAAGCAAACACTATTTAATGAACTCTTTCATTGATCAACATCAGTTTTGCTTTAGATAATTATTTGCATAAAATAGCTGTAGCCTTTCTGGTGCAGCCTGGAGCACATACGGTGAAAAGACCCTAACGTTCCTGTCAGATTATCCATGTTATAGGCTAAAATGATTGCAATATAAAGGTTATTTAAAGGTCTTTAAGATTGTATTTATTTAGTTTGGCAGAAGTCTTTTTTTAGTACGGGTCTTCCTCAAATCATTACACTCATCCATCTGGTTAGTTGGTTCTATTTATCCAAACTGAGGTCATTCAGACAATTAATATGTTATTTATCCACAACCTTTCAACAGAATCCTATTTAAAAAAAAGGAAACGTGTTTCAGTTGGGGCGGCATGTGTGAGTCTGCATGACCATAAACATCCACATGAAGAATATTATACTAATGCAGACTTGCAGTAAGTGTTGTGTTGTGTTTTATGGATATGAACATTTAAAATATTACATTTATTTTGGACCAGCAATAACTATAAAGTTGAAATCATAACCTAATGCTTCTCTGCTTAGTTTAAGCGGCTGTAAAAATTTGCACACAATTATAACAATACAGATTTATAAACTCATTATTTAACAATGTATCTATAGATGCATATCCTCTGGCATCCATTATGGGGTGCTCCAGCACCATCTGCCCCCCTACTTCCCACATCAGAAAACAAAAATCTAAAACATCCCCTTAAGGCTCTAATTGTCTGGTAMATATTGAACCTAAGAAAATATTTTGTGGATTAAATACCATCTCACAAGCATCAAGTCAGATTTAAAGGTCATTCGCTCGCATTTTTCAGAACACCAGAGGTTGTTATTTCTGATCTTGCACACAACATAAGCACCGAGGAATATTTAAAATCTTTTCAAAAACATCTGCCTTTTATTGACAGACTTGACCCTCCCCAACAACAAACCGTGTTTCTAAGCCTGGGTTTTATTCCCTCGCCTCTCTGGCTGTCAGCATCCTTTGCCTCGGTGCTGTTTTCATCTCTGACACAGAAAGACGAGTCGACGAGGCAGGGAGGGCGGACGCATCGAGGGACAGACACTCGCAGAGCTGCTTAGGAACAATTATGTCAGAGAGGAGCCGATGTGTCTTATCATCTGCCAGGTTTTATTTTCCACACTCACACGGTGAAAGTCCGATAACACCATGTTTCTTACATGCAGTTTCAGTTCACTGTGAATACACTGTATATTTATATGTATGCAGCACAGCCAGTTAGTGCTGGATCACATCAACCATGACTTTCTTTCCGCTTTACTTCTTCTCTGTGATTCAGCTTTTCACACATTCACAGATTCATAAATTGCTGTGAGGAAAGCTCTGTATGTCTGCGACGCTCACCTGGGAAACAGCTGTTAATAAGATCCGCTACTCTGAAAACACGCCGCATTGTTTATTTTATACACGTAAGAAAAGTTGTTTTTCTTCCCTCCCCCCTCTTTTTGTGTGTGTCCTCAATAAGCCAACTGCCATGCAATCTATAGTAGAGTAGATATTGCTCAGCTTATTGACTAATGTCCTCTCCTGCCCACTTTGACATTTACTTATCCTYGCGTGCATCTGCTTGTATCGACGTCCGCTCTATCTGGACATCTTCCTAAGCTCTTTTGTCATTTGTCACCTCTTAAATAAAAGCCAAGAAAGGAAAGGGGTGGGGAGTTGTCAGTGATAAGACTTAATGATGCAAACCGCTGTGGTGGTTTTGTTCAAAAGGAGAGAAGAAGAAGAAGAAGAAGAAAAAATTAAAGAAGAAAATAACTCATAGTACAGCTTAATTTCCTGCTCTGTCCCTGTAATGGACTCACAGAGCAATTTCACCTAGCATATTTCACTAATAGGCAGACTAAAGAAGACCCTCTCTGCAGCCCCTCACATGCATTCACTTATAACTGCCGTCAATTTGGAGAAAATTTATTGGAAATGGGTTTTTTTTTTGGTGTAACACCTTTTAAACTAATATATCTGAAGAGCGTATTCAACATACTGAACTGTCAAAAGCTGTCATTTTATTCCTCCGCCAACTTATTCTTGAGTCTCAGATTCTTGGATGCAAACTCAACAAAGTCCAGACTGAGCTGCTTTTCATAAGAAAAAAACATCCTCCAAATGAGTTTTAAGGATTTGCACTTTGCAAACTCACTAACCGTAGTACAGTAAATTCAGTCCACCTTTAAAGGGGCAATATCATGTAAAATCAATTTTTTTGAGTTTTATATCATGTTATATATAATGTTATAATCTCTGCCCAAAACCTCATTCATGCATGTTTGAGAAATCCTGCAGCGTTTTTAGGCAGCCATGCTGAGGAGCAAAAYGACAGGTGGGGACCAGAAACGCCYCTGGGATGTGTCTCAAAGCTGAGCTTCCTCRTCACGGAGCACACCTCYCCACCCCACACACCCCGCCCATGACTCCTGCWGGCTCTCAGCAGAACGAGTGAAACTGAAAGTGAAACTTAAACTGTCWGCTGAGCTGCTAACCAGCTCTCACTCAGTGAAGCTCTTTTCAGATTCTAAATACCTTTGAGGAAATGTATTTTCAGATGCCGAGTAARCTGCATCATAGCGCAMGCGCGAGTCCCCCCACACTGAAATGGGCGGGACAGTAGCGGAAGGTGGTTCTTAAAGGGACAGAGGCCAATTTCAAGGTGTTTAGAAGAGGAAGTGATGAGAATATAAGTTTATTTTCWTTTTAAACATAAAAACAGCATTTTAATAACAGCTAAAGGTGACATAGATACTTTATTATGGTATAGTATTTAAACATAAGCRTGAGAAACACATAACATTGCCCCTTTGACGTGGACTTCCACAGTCACAGCCTGGCTCAGACTTGGTCCCCATGAGGTGGAAGACAAATTCTTTCTTTTCCTCCTTCCCTCTTTCTATTCATCCAACCCTTACACCTGCACCCCCCTCCCCCTGCAGAGAGGCTATTATTGCAGCTAATTATCTACAAATAGGCCCAATATGACAAACACATAGCCCCGTACCGGTGCTGGCTAAAGCGCAGGAATCATTCTGAGTGGGAATAAAAGAATGAAAGGGGAGGTGAAGACGGGGCACACAAAGAACATGACTAAAGTCAGAGTGAAAATCATAAAGGGGGGAGGGAGGGGGGTATGATTCAGAGGTAATTAGAAGGAACATGATGAAGACACAATGTGGAGTGAGATGAGTGGAGCTAAAAAAGATACAAGTGGGAGGCAGATGAGTGATAAAAAGCAGACACACCAGAAAGGAGACAGCATACCACAAGAAAATGATCTTGTCTGTGCAACGTGTGATGGCTGTTGCCATTGGCAACTGTCCTGCAGCGTACAGACCACATCCACTTAGCTCCCAGCATGCCTTGGGATCCGGACAGCTCAGGGGTCCAAGGCTGCCTGTCTAATTTCCATAAAGAAACTCATTTACAAGGAAAGCTTGAAGGGCTATGGCACATCAGTGGGGGGG